CTCCTCCTCCTCCTCCTCCTCCTCCTCCCCCTCCTCCACCTGCAGTGGAGGTGTTCTCACGTTTTATGTAACAGCCCGTGGTGGAAACATTAGAGAATTTTATTTTAAAATGTCTTTGTAAGTTCGATTCACTTTGTTTATCAAAAGTCGTGTCTTTGGGGACGTAATGCAGCAATTTACAACAGTAAAAGATACAGGCTTACGTGCGCACTATTAACATAGATCTAATTCTCATTCCAAAATGCATCCTTACAAAATATGGCAGCTGACGCAACAGCCCGCACATTAGATAAGGACTTTTTCACGTTAGACTGCCATGTCTGTCACTTATCTGCGTGTATGGAATAGAAGGTAAGATTGCCAAGAAACAAAGGGAACTCACCTCGAAATAGTACGGCTGTGTGGTTTGAATGGCATAAACTCTTAAACATCACTCCAAATGCTCCCAATCCTCATCAGGGCCGGATTCGGGACAGATATTGGAGATCAAGGTTTTCTATTCATTTATTTCTGGGGTGCTTTAAACAAAATTATATGTGAGGCAGCGTGGTGGAATCAGGCTCTCGTCAGTTTTTGGGCCTATTGAGTTATTGGTATCACCTTAAAGCTTGTTCATTTTGTCAGAATGAGCATAGATATGTGTTGCTCTTAGAATATGTATCTGTATATAACTCCAAAGGTCTAGTATTTAAATTCCTGCATGTGGTTGAATGATGCATTTGATGTAAATGTATATTTTGTCAGCTTTACTTCTCCTTCATACTGAATTTTAATGAGAGTGATATATATGAATTAAATTTGTTTATGTATACCTGCATGTGTTTTTACGGTCCTGTACAGCCAAGGAAAATTTCCCTCTGGGATAATAAAGTACTATCTTATCTTATCTTATCTTATCATTAGTCTTGCTTTCAATGAAAAAAATTACACATCCATCTTCAATAGAAGTGGATATATTTTGGATTGAAGGAGGTGGGGGTCACCTGGTTTAAGAGATAAAATTAGCCAGAAAATGACCGCCATAGCTTGGTAAATTCCAAAGCCTGAGAGTCCATGGAAACTGTAAATGTATATTTTTGAGCCTTTAATTAACGTTTTCGGTGAAATCCTCAAAGGAATGTGTTTGTAAATGGACATAAAAGGTGTTGAGCCAAAAAACAAAAATGTGATAAAAATTGCTAAGCAGGGAGAAAACTGCTGTTTTCTTTGATTTCATTATTTTGACGAGAGCCTGATTCCACCACGCTGCCTCACATATGTAAGGCAGCGTTATGAAATCAGGCGCTTGTCAAAAATAATGAAAGTGAAGAAACTGGCATTTTTTCACAGGTTTGGCAATTTTTATCACATTTTTTGTTTTGGCTCAACACCTTTCGTGTCCATTTAAGAATACATTTCTGTGTGGATTGTACTGAAAAACATCAATTAAAGGCACAAAAAGTGTAAATGTTCTGTTTTCACAGACACTCAAGTTAAGAAAATAACTATACTTTGGCGGCCTTTTCCTCTCTCATTTTACCTCTGAGACTAGGTAACCCCCACTGACCCCATTCGCAAATATCTCGACTTGTATTCAAGATAAATGTATATTTTTTTATCCAAAGCATGGCAAATGAGCAAGCTTTAAGATGATACCAATAACTTCATTTGCGCCAAAATTGACGAGAGCCTGATTCCACCACGCTGCCTCACATATTAATTTCCATCCTGATATTTTCCTATCACCCATCTGTTAAGGCTTTCCAGGTAAGTTGCAGTGGGTCTACCCCTGTTTCGTTTGCCTTTAATGATACCAGTGACTGTTAGATGTTCAAGGCCCTTGGGGTGATTCAAGTGTCCCAAAAAACTGCAGCCATCTCTTCCTTCCAATGGCTTCTTTAACCCTATCCGTACGTCGTGTTTTACTATCGTATCCATACGACGTGGGGAATTCTGTGCCACCACTTTCCAAAAAAGGAAATTTACTCTTTAATCCGATCCGTACGCTTTGCATAGCAGTCTTTCAATTTTTATTATTTTTAGAAATACTGAAAGTTTCAAAGAGATCTTTGTACCAAAAGTATTCTAAAATGTGAAGAATACAACCGGGGGGGGGGGGGGGGGGGGGGGGGTACAAAATGACCCCAGGGCGTACGGATAGTGTTAAGAACTCCCACCTTTATTATCAAAGCAAGGGAAATTATATATCTTCTCCTTCGTGTTGTCCTCAGACACGGTGACATCCCTTTAGTAACTCACTCCATACGCATTGTGTGCGCGCGCGCGTGTGTGTGTGTGTGTGTGTGTGTGTGTGTGTGTGTGTGTGTGTGTGTGTGTGTGTGTGTGTGTGTGTGTGTGTGTGTGTGTGTGTGTGTGTGTGTGTGTGTATGTGTGTGTTACACTCGATACAACCTTGATTTTGTATTTATTTCGATCAATTCAAAGCCTTGAATCCTGTGTAAGATAATTATATCGCCGAAGCAAAGTACGATTATTCTCCACAAGTAAGTAGAAAGACTGCAAAAATAAAGCGCTAGGTTGCCAAGTAGAGAAATATAAAGAAAATATCTTATGGTTATTTCTCCGATAACGCTCGCAAATTGCGAATTCAACTGGAACAAAACTGTGGGAATATGTCTGTCTCCTGCCAATGGTTCATCATCTTGTCTCTGGAGACATCTGCTTCTTTAAATTAAATAACTATTTTTTCTTATATTCTTGTTGTTTCAGCTATAGTAAAATGCCGACTTATGTTCTTGGACCATCCCTAAGCTACAAATTAACTTTTATTTCCTCTGATCTGGTCGAGGCACGATGATGTACTTGTATTATTTGGCCCACTAGTTTCACAAGTGATTTATGTGCTTGCTATGGTTTGAAGGAAAAATATCTTCAACCAAATTGTGTGTCCTGGATTCAAACAAAGAAACATCATCCCGAGCAAAAATGAAGAAAGATTAATCTGCAATTGGGTCCATTTCAATCGATTGATAAATCACTGTTCACCTGCAGTTGTATCACCGAAAGCAAGAAGAAATAAATCCTTAAACTGTTAAAATTGACAACTTTGTTGCTTTAGATCATATTTACACTCACACTATATTATACTCTATATTTCGTAAGCTCGTTCTCTGCAACAGAAATCGAACATGTATATGATTACTGTAGTGCAACGTCACCTGATAATAAGAGTCAATTAAATTATTTATCTGAACGTATAATCTGGCACAGGCATCTTTTATGATAATGGCAGTTACCATCGATCCAGTTTTGGCAGGGATTTCCCTCAATAGTCAATTGCCACGAAACGAAATAGAGTTTCAAATATTTATGGTGGAAAAAGTATTGCTCTCTTGGGGAATTTAAAATATTTTTTTTTTTTAGGAGGGAGGGGTAGACAGACACAGGCAAAGAAAAGCACGTTGCTGGAGCAGATGTTCTGGAGATTTATATTTCAGAACTACAACCTTTAAATTGTTTATGAAGATATTAGTGTACCACAAAAACACTACGCACTTCGCTTTCTTCATAGATTCCATCGATTTTTTTAAATGTCACTCTGAAATTAGTTCCGAAATTATGACACCTTTCAATAGCCCAAGCTTTTTGTTTCTAATAAGTGTTGTTAAGTTGTGTATTCGAACCCTTTCCCAAGTCGAATTTAAAAATGATAACCTGCCAATTAAAAAGACCTTTAGCAGTATTAATGAGGCTAAGATATGTTTTCAGTAGGCATTCTCACCTTTGTTTAATGAGAAAAAGATCAATAAATGTATTTGCTTTTGAGTAATTTTTCTCTTCCCAACATTATCATACTTTCTCTCGGGAGGAGACTTTGGGTTCGAATGTTTTCTCTCGACCTCTATTATAACATAAGTATTTACCACGTCAAAATACTTTCATATTTGAGATCAACTTTCTCTGAAAACCTCTCCGATCTCACGATTTTTAAGAAAACAAAATATTCTACAACACCAAGGAACCCGCAACCAGATTTTGTGCTCTCTCTACCAAAAACGGTAGAACGTAATTATCACAGTTCACATTGAATAAAGAACGAAGAAAGGAACGCAAACAAGTAGAAATCAGTTTGACTAAAGAGGACCACGCGAACAAGATAGTGACCCTTCAGATCTTGCAACACACTAGGAAAACAGCTGAAACAACAGAAGGAAAGACAAGAAGCAAAGAAGTACATGTAATACCTGTCTATGGCTCTCTCCAACCAGTTACAACGACCCGAGGCTGGTGAAAACAAAAAAATAAATGGACGACCACAAGACCTTTGTTTTCGGGGACTAAAGTGAAAAACCTCTAGTTAAAACTCCTTTCTGAAGCTACTAAGGACGATCAGCATTCCCCCCCCCCCCCTTTTTCCCTGAAACTATAGGACAATACAATGTTGAACAAGTCCCAACTCACAACAGAATCTGTACTTACTCTGATGAGGGCAAGCGAGCAAATTTCAAAGCACACAAGATATAAAGAGTTAGTAAGCCGACAGTTCAGGGATGTGTGTGAACAAAGCTTACAGATTTTCATTCTATTCATCAACATCTTCGGCGTGCTAACCAACAGCATCAACCTTCGAGTGTTTGTCAGGCAGGGGATTGCCTCAGATACCACCACCATCAGCCTCTCTGCTCTGGCCATATCCGACCTCATGGGCTGTATCTTCATGATACCTGCCTCCTTGTGCTATGTGGTTAAGTTTGTGAACTACACAGACTACAGGAACTGTGTGTCGCTCACGTCTATGCCTTGTCACTATCCGCACGTGATGTTCTCTAGAATCACATGCTGGCTTACTGTATACATCTCGCTAGAGCGCACATTGTGCGTTCTCATGCCCCTTAAAGTCAAGTTTCTTCTGAGACCAAGAGTGGCACGGAATGCTGTTTTAGCTATCTTTACGTTCTTTATTTCGTTTCATGTCCCATTTGCAGCCAGTACACGGATAGTTTGGGATTTTGACCCGGTGTTTAACCAGAGCATGGCGGGAAATGTTGAAACAAAACTTGGCAAATTATTTTTATATCTCAACAGCTTGATAGCTACAACAATACTATCAACTGTTGCCATGGCGATCGTTGCCATGACGACAACAGTGATGCTTTACAAACTGAAAACGAAACAGGAGTGGAGAAAAACGGTTTCGTCCACATCGGCGTCTGTCATCTCAACTTCAAAGGATCTGGAAGTTTTTAAAACGGTTACCATGGTGACAACCATCTACTTGGTGTGTTTGATTGGTGGCCATACCCCTGGCTTTGCTATGCTCTTCTTTCCTGGCGTAACGCTGTCTGGGGTCAACGAGAATCTATTTCTTGTGATGTACACCTTCAAGTATTTCTTTGACGCCGTTAATTCCTCTGTGAATTTTCTCTTTTATATTTGGATCAGTAGCAAGTTCAAAGCTACGTTCCATTCTCTTTATAGTCGCAGACATCCCGAATAGGGGAAATCAGTTTGCTTTCAGCCTGTTCGCGAGTCATTGATAGAGTTCTAAGTCTTCTACAGGTTATTCGCATCTAGTTAGTTTCACTAAATTTTCTTTTAATGAAGACCGATATGGTGCTTGCAGTGTGCGTGAGCACGGGTACACACACACACACACACACATGCGCGCGCGTGCACGCGCGCGCATACATACATACACACACATACACACACATACACACACACCCATACACACAAACATACACATACACACACAAACACACACACATACACACACACACGCATACACACACAAACACACACACACACACAAACACACACACATACACACTCACACACGCGCGCACACATACACTTCTTTTTGTGCTCTCTCTCCCTCTCTCTCTCTCTCTCTCTCTCTCTCTCTCTCTCTCTCTCTCTCTCTCTC